TTTTTTTTTTTTTTTTTTTTTTTTCTCTCGGTAAAATGACAAGGAATAGAGTCATCCAGCGGAAAAAATTCCCGCAGCTGCTTAACAAACCTTGAGTGCTCTACTGTGCTGGATGCACCCATTGTATTTGAACTCAAGCATTTTTGGCCAACAATGCATTGTATTGAGAGTCTTTTTGCTTTATAAACAAACGCAATACAATTTTCCTTATTGAAATAACACATGGAATGACCAAAGATATAAACGGCCCACTGGACAATCATATTGTATGTACACTGTGATCCAAAGGACTGGGTTGACTGCACATTTTATATTTACTCATCACTATTTTTCAGGAATATTACGATTGGATTGTTTCAATGGGTACCTGCTAGTGTTACTGAATGTACAGTTTATATTAAGGGATAAAAAAGACGTAAGTATCATCATAACATTTTTTAATAGACAATGAAATTATAACGTAAGTGTAGATTACAGCTAAGTAGACCATACGATAAAGTTTGTATTATGATTTTGCAGACCCTAAACGGATTGCTGCTGTCTATAGTGTTAATAAGATTGATTTAACTCACGACCGAGAACTTGCGAAATAATAATCAAACAATTTCCTTTCCCACTCTCTTCCTAATTATTTAACTTGACAATTGCTGACGTGTACATCCTTTTTCACACTTTTGTTGTCGACATTTTATCATCTGATACTAATACTTCAGTTGTGAGAGTTGTTATTGTTCAGAAACACTTGTAATCAGCCAAGAAATTTCGGGTTAATTAGAAGTAGAAAAAAAAATACAATTGTGTAATTTCTGTCCATCTTATTGCATTTAATATATTGTACTTTTTATTTAGTATCTTGTTATTATGTAAGTTTTGCTTTCGCACCAAACACACATCATTTTCTCACATTGTGTAGTATAGTTTAGTTTGGTCGGCACTAAACGTGGTTATAGGTTGAAGCTGTTTTTATTATCTATTTATGTATATAGACCTTTATTCATTCAAAACTGCTTTTCAGCGAAAAATTCCCATACAAAAACTAGTTTGAATTTCAGGAAATTATGCCGTAATCTAATATCAAAACATAATTCTGTTTTTTTTTAATACTTGGAAAACCTGAAAAACGGGTTCTTTTTTCTTGGAATTGTAATAATGGCAGGATAGGTAAATGTAGGCAGGTTATCGTAGTACTACTACATAGCCACAAGAGATTTATCACTAGTGCATTAATATATGCATAATATTTCTAAATAATATTTTGTTGTTGTTTTTTCTGTAGAATTAAAAGCTCACCTGTTTTAAATTTTAAAATGTTTTTTTAACACATATTTTTGGTTGAGTTTAGCCTATCTTCTTTTAACCTAGGTAGCTCGCGCCAATTGTTTGTTTGTTTGTAATTAAGCATAAAGCAACACAATGGGCTATCTGTGCTCTGCCCACCACGGGTATTGAAACCCGATGTCTAGAGTTGTAAGTCCGCAGACGTGCCACTGGGGGGTAGCGCGCGTCCAGCTGTAATTCAGTTGTATTTGAGTTTCAATCTAAAGTCAAACAGGCTTATGAGGTTAAAAACCTCCGTGATTAAACTGTTTAGATTGATGTCTGAAGGTGTAATCACTATTCAAAGCCTTTCAGTGACTCAGACGTAAGTCTGAGGCTTACAACGCTAAAAAAGTCAGGTTTCCATTGCCTACTATGGACACAGCATACGATGAACAAACACTATTAATAAGCGAAAAAAAAAAAGGATATATTTTATATTTCGATGAAATAAATCTCAAACGTGTATATTACTGGAAATTTCCAGACATAATGAATTATTACAAGGGTGAAAATTACTTTACTGCTCAACGCTACAAGTGATCTCGATGATATATGTTAGGTAAACATGTCTGTAGACCTCATCTCTTCTGTCCAATGTGTCATTAGGCCTCATCCCTTTCTGTCCAAATGTCATTAGGCCTCATCCCTTCTGTCCAATGTGTCATTAGGCCTCATTCCTTTCTGCCCAAATGTCTGCAGGCCTCATCCCTTCGTGTCCAATGTGTCATTAGGCCTCATCCCTTTCTGCTCAAATGTCTGTAGGCTTCATCCCTTTCTGTTCAAATGTCTGTAGGCTTCATCCCTTTCTGCCTAAATGTCTGTAGGCTTCATCCCTTTTTGCCCAAATGTCTGTAGGCCTCATCCCTTCGTGTCTAATGTGTCTCACATAAATCCAACAACAGATTTCTTCTTCCAGCCTCCGGTATATTCTTAATGATGTCTCCTTTTAATTTACTTTTGTTCTTTAAACTGTAATTAAAGAACCTGTTAGATTATTTCAATTTATCTAACACATTTCTCACGCTAACTAACTTACACGAATGTATAATTATTAAATTTAGACAGTGCCCACCGCAGTGGATAAAAGGGGTTCCGTCTCTGATTGATTTTTGTACCCCAACTTCTTTACTACTCATAAATGCAATGCTGTCATAGCAACATCATCATAGCCATGCTCTCTTCAGGCAATCCAACTTTTTAATGTTATCAGTATGATGTCTGCAATGCATTCTTTAGTCATTCTAGTGAG